GGTAATTTTACGGGAAATTTATAAATATTACTATTCGTTGTTATTTTTTTTAATTTAGCACTTCTTTAAGGTAAAAAATTATTACACATTGTCACAAATTCTTGCTGGACCTTCGTGTTGCCAACATCTATCTTGAGTGAGATGATCTTGCAGTTGTAATTCGAAAAAGCTATACTTATCAACAATCATATAAGCGAGCTAAGTGAAGATTTTTGTGGAATTTTTGCAGCAATAACATGTTAATAGTTTTATCTTATAGTCATTTACAAGTCATATCCAAAGTTATTATGTTAATTAAGTTACAATTAATTCTTAGTGTTATGTTTGTATAAAAATATTGCACTTTCTCATAATTCGTCGTCAATATCACGAAGTGACGTAACTCGATTTTTACAACTTTACAAGAGAGCGTTTTAAATTTTTTTTTTATAAAGTTACGTCTCTTCGTGAAATTATCAGCTACACCGGTTAGGTACGTGTTATTTTAATAAATGTATTGAATTGAGATACCCAATTTCGTGAAATTGTAGAGCATATTTTTTACATAATATGTGACTTATCTCAATTTTCAATTTTTTCAAGTTACGTCACTTCGTGATATTGACGACGAATTGATATTGAATTGATATTGACAAGATGTAGCTGTGTCTGTTTTTCTAGAATTCCTCCTGAGGATCGTCTCAGGAGTATCGCTCTCTAACGTAAACACAGTTATCTTGTGATCCGATAGAGATCATTTACACGATTTTCCCCAGCTTGTACCTAGATCTTTGTTGCTTGGCGTTCTTAATGTTATATCTAATACCTCACTTTTGCACAATAAGTTTCTTATTAAAAATGAATTCTAGAAGTTGATCCAATCTTTGATCGGTGTCGTTGCTTTCCCATATGGTGATGTGCGCATTGGGGTCGCATCTTAGAAGTTATTGCACATTTATTTGTGGTCACATACGTATAGCTATATCGATTTGCTCACAGTTATGTCTCGATTTTAACTGACTCCGCTACAACAACACAGCCTATTTATATAAAAAGATGAGGGTTTCCAATAAATTCCCTGACCATATATTACAATATCGCACCTTCGCCAATAGTTGCACTTCCATGCCATACGTCAAATATTCTACTGTGTCGCACACAGTTGATTAGCTTCTTCTATTAAAAAAATTAAAACAGAGAGAACTACTCATCGTAAAATTTAATTGATTTAGATTTCCAGTCAAGACTTAATGAAGGAAGGTTTTAAATTTATTCAAAATTCCTAAATAACACATTCACTTATAAATTATATTCACTCATCAAGAAATCTAGTTTATTTAAGGTAAAAAGAGTGTAAATAACTTTAAAAGATACATAGCTACTGCAATAAACAAAGTTTGATATTTATATTTTGATTACAATTAATAACAATTTTTTTGGTAGGATTCCCCACTCAACCATTCACTGTTGGGTTCTAATTAAGTGTTGTTCCTAAAGTGGCGCTGGGAAACAGTAACAAAGCCTACACAGAATAAGAGAGAAATGGCCTTATTAGTCGATGCCGATGACACCAAATTAAAAAAAAATAACCATTTTATTGTAATAAGTCATAGGGATTTTAAAAATTTTCTAAATTTAAGATCGGATTTCTGTAAACGAGTGATTTTAAATATATCTACACACAAAAATACACAGGATTCTGGCCAGGCGACCTTGGGGGCCATGGGCGTGGAGATCCTCGTCCCAACCAACGGTGTGGAAAAACGTTATCTAAATACTCCCGTACGATTGCTGCAAAATGTGGAGGAGCACTATCATGCATGAACCACATAAGCCTTCTAATTATTAGAGATACATATATTATGTATATCACCAGTCAATCGTTGTAAAAGGAAAAATGGTCTTAACAAATAATCGTCTATAATACACATCCAAACATTGACCAACAAGGTGTGTTGGAGTCATGCTTCAACTATAGCAGTTTGCATGGACGCGACTACAGCAAGCTATATAAAGAGTTGGAGAACGACCAAATAATACGAATGCCTTCAGACGAAATGCTCCCAAAGTAGTATAGCTTTCAAAAGCAATATAAAGTAAGTATACCAGACAGGGAAGCGTGGACGGGAGGACCTCCTATTTATGCCGATTTCACCTGGTATACAGACGGCTCCAAAACACATGAAGGTTCAGGAGTAGGTATATATAGTACCAAGCCAAAGACAAGAATCTCACTGAGCTTAGGTAAACATGCGACAGTATTCCAGACAGAAATAGCAGCAAAAGAAGTATTAAGATAAAAGGTAAATGAAAAAACGATTGTCATATACTCAGACAGTCAAGCGACGTTAAAAGCACTTAGTTCCATGCAGGTACACTCAAAGCTTGTGTGGGACTGGTTGGAATCCCTAATAGAGCTGGGTAGTCAAAACAGACTAACCTTAGCCTGGGTACCAGGCCACAGGGGACATAAGAGCAATGAAGAGGCTGATTTACTAGCCCGAGAAGGAGCCTCAAATGCTCTTATTGGCCCAGAACCCTTCTGTGGTGTAACAAAAACAACTATCAGAACATTCACAAAGCAGTGGATGTTTAAAAAATTTCTGGAGCAGTGGAAAAACTCACCAGGACAGAGAAAGGCCAAAGAGTTCTTACAAAAACCATCGCCTAAACTCACCGAGCATCTACTAAGCCTTAATAGGAAAAATACTAGAGTACCAGTAGGTCTATTACCAGGGCATTTTAGGCTTAACAAACAAATGTACAATATTGGTCTGACAGAAGAGACCTTGTGCCAATTCTGACAAGAAGAGGAGGAAACGGCAGAACACGTATTATTGTGCTACTGCGAAGGTCTAGCAAGACTGAGCTATACCGGAGAACTACTTCCCAGTCTATGGAGTCTACTACAAAAGGCCTAATTAGACAAGGTACTCTAAATAATGATTAAAAGATATTCACAATAGATCTGAAAAGGTCGAGGTGGGGGAGGCCACGTGGCCCATAGTCCTAATTAAATCTAAGTTTACTGAAACTGAAAAGTTGGAGATTACTGCAATCACCAGATAATTCAAAAATTTACAAATCTCTTTACAATGTGCCCTAAACTAACAATTAATGTTTTATAAATTTTGCGACAAACCTATATTTTATGAAGTTACAGAATTTGTTCCAGTGAAATTTTCCACTCTATATATATATTTATTAGCACCGAGTAGATTCCTAATTTCCATAACGTAACTTTCACTGAAAAGAAGATCTGATACATTTTTTTTTCTTTCAACTCTCGAGCTATATGGACTGAAAAAGAGGAAACTTTTTTATTTTCAACTTTTAGAAAATGTTATTCTTTATAAAAGTTCTGGCTTGTTTCAAAAATAATAATCATTCAAACAGAAGTTGAATATTTTTTTTTTTCTTTGGTGAAATAGCGACTCTTTATTTTTTATTTTTTTACATTTTGTCATTATTTCACTAAGCAAAGAGACAATTAACTGTTTACAATATTATAACATTATTTCGAAAAGGTGAAAATAAAAAAGTTTCCTTAGTTTTTAGTCAATCTTACGAGAACCTGTATATTGCAAGGAAAACATTTGTATTTTTTTGATCCCATGTTACCATCTATACTTTTTTATTTTGGGGTCTATTTCATAAAAATGACTTATATTATTAGTAAATAATATTACTCATAAAATAATAATATAAGTTGGCTGTTTTCTGTTTCACAGATTATTTTAATTTACACATATTATTAGTGACATAATCTTTTCTATTATATTAGCAGCATGGTAGCTACATACTAGATCTAGTATCCTTATTGAAGTTTACTTGATATGTCAAAAGGTAGTATTTTTTAATTGTGAAGTGACATTCAGTTTTGTTATGTACGCGACGCAACTTGGCCTAACCTAAGGTCCAGAACAATGGTGTGCTACCTACTTTCTGTGCCTAAGCACCTAAGGTGGGATTTATGTCAATCCAAATTTGGATGCCGACTAACTACAGTGAAGAAGGGGTGAGTCGTAGAAAAAGTTATGTTCTTAAGTGGGCGCCAGGAGTTTAACCTCACATCCAACAATCCATGTGACAGTTCACTACCAAACTCCAAATAGAAAACTATAGCATCTCCTCTACAAGGCCATCAAGCGGCTAAAAATCGAGTATGCTCCTCTTATATTATATCAGTTACTTTACTATAAAAATAGATGCTGACAGTTAGCAAGTGGGGATTAATAATAAGTTAAGTTCAATATATACCCAAGTTTAATAATACAAATATAAATCGTGTTGACATGGGGGTCAACTTTGTTCACACTATGAAATATACTAATATTTACCAAATTAATAACAACTAAATCACTTAGTACATTACTATCAGATTCCCCAACTATTAACAGTAATCCAGTATCACTGGGAGTAATATTTACAACTAAAACGCTATATTAAACTTAAAAATCGTTAAATGGGACTAGAGGAATCGTAAAAATATAACACATGAGGTGTGTACTGTATTTAGCAAATAAACAAATAATAGTGTACTATTTACGGACGCTAGGGGTAAAAACAAGTAAAATACTGTTACTTATTAAAAATATTAATTACCCATAAATAATATATAACCCACGAAGAGCTCTTGGTGACGTTATCTGGTTTATTAAAAATGTACTGTAAACCATACACCCCTAAACCTCGTTTACATTAGGTTTAGATTAAAACACGTACTAATAACACCCCCCAATAAAATAGATTAAATAGTAATAAGTAATATAAAAAAATAAGATAGCAAAACTTGCGGTACACCGTGACTTCTTCCCAGCTGCTCTAGTAGACGGTTGTTGTCCTACTTCGGCATACAAATCAACCTGCCTATCGTAAAGTTTGGTAGCCCGTTAGACGATTACTAGCTGATCACATGGAGTACTATTTGAATCCTGTGTAATTAATGCTAATAGTTTTTAATTTTACTATTGCGCCGTCCTCACTTGTAAAGCATATAAAAGATTTTTATTTAATTACAGACAAAAATTGACCAACCAAATAAAACTGGCGCATAAGGAGGTTCCGAATCAAAATTAGATGACACTGATAAATTAGTGATAGAAATAATTGGAAAGGAATCTCCTGTTGTTCAAGGAATTGGCGTACCCGATTCAATGGAAACTGTTTCCGAAGTTAAAGTGATTACCGAGGACTTTAGTTATTCTATGCCCAATGAAAACGATGACAATGGCACCACAAAAAGCAATTGCTCGCTTCAACAAAGTTCATGTAGAGGTAAGAATATAAAGTGACTAAAATTATTTCAAAACAAGTCAACTTAGATGATTACATATATTATTTTTGTAGGTAAAAAAAGAGTTATCGTTCAGCAACCAGATGATGCTAAAAACATTTAATCTCCTAAAATAAAGAAACTTCAGCTTGAGGTTTGAAAGTTGGAACTGGAAGTTTGGGAAAAAGAATGCTCACTTAATGTTTAACATTTTGTTCATACTATGAATATTGAATCCTCGAACTATATCAGTGATTGCGAAACACAACTGGGACAGGTTATGATTGTAAATTCTACTGACTGTGACGAAGGGCAGTTTATTTATGTTAAAGAAAAATAATGATATTTTAATATCTTTAATTAAACATATGTTACACTTTTATTTATTTTATAACTATAACTGATTAAAGTTTAATAAGTAGCTACTTTTCAAATTTATTATTTTGCAGAACAAAAAATATATACAAAATAAATTTTCCACTATGCTGAAAAATAAATGTTTTCTTTACATTCATAGATATTATTTCAGGAATTCCGAAAGTGATTACAAAAGTAATGTAATGTTTCCTCGCCACCTGCTTCTCTAGCTAATTGTTCGCCGTCGTCTTCCATATCAATGTTTATATCATTTTCTTCTCTATTATTATACCTCTCAACGTCTACTTTTGTTAAATTGCAGAGTACAACGCAACATTTTATTACCTCGCAGGAAAATCTAGTTTTAATCTTAAATGGTTGAGGCATGGAAATTTTTCTTTCAAAATACCAATGACACATTCAATAACTCGCCTTTTACTCTTGTGTGCTCTTAAAAATCTTTGTTGTGCAGGATCTTCTGCATTACGAAGCACAAGTGGTATAAGCCAAGGCTTTAAAGGATAAATTGAATTATCTAACAGTACGGCATTTGGACCACATACAAGCATCACGTTCAATGAATGCTTACCATGACGATCCACAAAACCAGGCTCATATTGACTTGGAAAATCAATGTTAATTAAAGTCCTGTCCACTGCTCCATACACAAGGGGCATTCCATCCATTTCACTAAACCCATGAATTACTTCAGCCACATCCACTGGCCAACAAACTGTTTCGTTTATTAAAATTTGATTAATTGCTGTAACAACTCTGTGAACAACTCTGCATACAGTAGCTTTACTAATACCATGCATATTTGCAACACCATGGTACTGCGTCCCACTTCCAAGCCAATGTAGTGCACTTATCAATTGCTGCTTGGCTGTAAGCGCATGATTTCTTTGAGTATCAGAAGATAAAAGATGTTCTATCCGTTGCAGTATTATATTAAAACTTCCAGTAGGTAACCTAAAGCTTTTATTGAATTCGTAGGTTTCTTCTAAATGTACATAAGAAATTTTTTCTGATAATTCTCGGTCGTCTAACTACAATTCTAATTTCATCGTCACTTGAATCTGAATCTATAAGTTTCAAATAAAATATGACACATATAATATCAGTGCAAATTAAGTAAAAATATTAGTTGTTATTTATTATTTAAAATTATTTGTTTGCTTTAACTATAAATCATACTTCAGATTTTACAAATAAAATACGGGCTAGCCGACCGCCGGCGGTAGCTGAATTTAATAAAACGAAAACCGTCTTCCGGAGGCATTGTCTGCTCACATATAAGAAAGTCGCCGAAAATCTAAACTGATTTGTTGATGAGGGCGGCAGGCTATCCAGAATATTGATAAGGCCGCCGGATGACGGTCTACTCACTACTGTATTTCAAACATTAAATGCCGCCGGAAAAAACTTGCGTATCGGGGACAACACTATTCATTTGTAATTGCTGTGGTGGGAGGTGTTTGTGTGAATGCGTCTTGTTTGTTTTCATTTACGCCGTGACTAGCAGTGGTATTTTATAAACCTTAGAAGCAAATTTCACATACATGAACAAATAATAATAATAATGCCGTGACAACAAGAAGACGAAGTAATGACTTCTCGTAGGGTGGCGGCGAAGCCGCCACCATAAAATTTCAGTCCATACCTTGCTACGCCGACCGCCATAAACACCAACGACCTGGACACAGCTCATCTACTCTGTCAAAAGGAGACTGATGTACAAATCAAACGCGTACGACATATGATCATTTGCCACAAAAATGTACACGATTTTACAAGTATTTTTTCTTACCACCGGCATTCAGTGTTTTAAATACAGTTGACCGTCGTCCGGCGGCATTTTGCAATTCCCTGATAGCATGCTGCCCTGATCAACAAATCAGTTTAGATTTGCGGCGGCTTTCCTGTATGAAGAAGACCATGCCGCCGGAAGACCGTTTTCTTTTCAACAAATGCAAGCACCGCCGGCGGTAGGTTAGTCAGTATGATATAATAAACTAATATTAGGAGTAAGTTTACTAATAACTAATTTTATTACCTAAAAATATTATGAAACTAAAACTAATATTTCTTACTCATAATATTAAGCTTTAGCCAATAATATTAGAATAATAAGTTTTATGAAATAGGCCCCTTGAACTAAACTATTCACAATTATGAAGGAAACACGTAGAACATCGAACTGACGCAGAAAGTCTTAGAATGACTGATACGCCAATTTCCTGAAGAATATTTTTTTATGTTTCAGCCTGAAAATTTTGGCACAGGAATTATTTCAGAATTATAAAAAAAAAACAATAAAAAAACATATGTATACTTTAGAACTATTTAGTTTAATAGGTACATGGTAATATAATTAGTAGAGCATTCATTTATTTACATATTTCAACCGGTTCATTTTTATTGGTGGAACAGCTGTTGGTAGAAGTCGTACTCTTAGTTTAATAGTTATATTAAAACAATCCACTTTAAAATGGCGTTAATATAAAACGTTTAGAGATTTTAGCACCATTCTTCCACAATTAGTATAAATGAGAGTATGGATGACATAGTGAAAAGTTATATTTATTAATTTATAGTTTTCTTGACTCATTTGCTAAAATTGCTGTAATTTAGAACCCTAACCAAGTTAGATTCCTGAGAAAATTAAAACAAACTCAATAAAGAATAACAATTTTAAATTTAACGAATTTTATAAGGGCACGTATTTAGGAAATAAAACACTATTGAAATATAAAAAAATTAAAAATAAAGTTATCAAAAATATATCAATATATTACCCCATTTTACACATTCTTGATTACTGAGATCATCACTTACTTTAACTTTTTATCTCCTTTTCTTATTAATCGCGTTATTCACTTTTAATAAAGGCTTAATGGCTATTTTATAAGCGTGTTATTAAAATAGAATTATCGCATCACTGTAGCAATTCCGTGACACCCTGTACGACTCGTTAGATATTGCAATTTTCTCTTTCGTGAAATGTCCTAATTGATTACAGAGATTTAGTAATACCAACGTTATCATCAGTATTACTCTTAAACGTTTTCCGTTAGAATTTTTATTTGAATGGAACAGTGTGGCTTTTCGGCCGTTTCATCATCGGCCGTAAAAAATTTCAACAGAGCTTTTGTGCGGAAAAAAGCAGCTTTGAGAGCCAATCGAGTTCCTCTGGGTTTTAATCTCATTCATCGGGCCTTAAAACGGCTTTAGAAACATCACAGAAAAGGCGTCCACAGCAATGAACCGCTGATTGGAGGATTGTCAAAAATGAGAGCCGCACAGCACACCAAGCAGATAACTAGCTGCGAACTCCATAAAAGCGCTTGATTAAGGGCTAGAAAGAGAGGGCCGCGAGAGAGGAAGGGAGTCGGCAACCGTCCAAAGTGATGACGTGGTCAGTCATTGACGCAGAATGCCGACTTCTAGGCAGACCATGAAACTTTCTCATTCGGAAATATGTTGGAGAGAAATTGACGATGCCACTTGTTCGGTTTATGACAGGAAGACTATAGACAGGGCGGATGGATGGAAAAGCTTTTATCAGTGCGTAAAGAAATAGCTGTTTTTATTTACGACACAATTAGTTTTTTTGCGTTTACAAACGTTACATTTAGTCTGCTACTAAACTGTTACACATTTTTTATTTTTAAATAATATTTTTCATTAAATGTTTATTGATTGGAAAAAATTATCGCATTGATTTTACATTTATTTACAAGTTCTAAAATTTACATTTTATAAATATAATATTTTGTTATGTTTGACGAATCTTTTTATTCGTTGCATTTTATTTTATGTTATTAAGTCAATCAGTCAGCAATTTCATGTTTTTCACAAAATATTTAGAATGTATATATACATTATTGGCCATCGAACATCTTCCAATATCCTTTGGCGTATGTGTGTGTGAAAACTACAGAGAGCCAGCACTAGGGCAAGCAGGAAAGGAACAATACCAGCGATGACAGCCTATATGGCCTAGCCAACGTTTCAACGCGGTCGGTTCGTAAACTATTATATATTTAAAAAAAATAAAAGTTCTACTACGGTCAGGAAATTATCTTTATTCGAACTATTATATATTGTAATAACAGTATGTGTTTATGAAATATCCCAAAACTATGGGCTTTATTAAATTTTATGATTTTAAGTCTAAAAAATGTATCGAATTATTCTTCTCTATTTCTATAGTAAATTTAATATTAGGGCATGTAGTATTAATAAAAACTAATAAGGAATGTAACTGTTTACTAATATCAGTGAAAGCATCAACATATCTACCTATGCCAATAGAGGCAATGCAAATATTTCTGCAAGCAATGGGCTCAATGTGTTCTTCATAATAAGACCTTCATCTGCTGAGTAGAAGTTATTTTTAAATTGAAAATAATTGTGTTTTAAGCAAATGTTTAACAAATTTAGGGTTTCTCCCTTGATTGTAATATTGACTTCATTATGATCTGGTAGTTTTTACTCGGTTAACTATTTCTTTAGGAGCTATACTAGGAAATTAGTTTGGTACTTCAAATGATACTGATTTTGTTTTACTGGGTAATTCAACATTTTTAAATTTTTCTGTTAATTTATACGAATTTTTTATAGTGTATTTTATATGTAATTTGCAATTTTCTTGAACATATAAGTTTAATTAATTTATGTGAAAGTTTATACTGACAAATAATAAAACTGGTTTTAATCCCGCAGCAAAATGAGACGCAGCTTGGTGAGATGACGCAGCTTGGTGAAGTGCCGCTGCGCGAGTCACGGCGAGTTTTTGTGAACCTAATAAAGAATATACCATGCTCATATTTCTTCGCAGCATGACGTGACTCAGTTTTGGCTTAAACTGACCCTGCAGAACGCAGTGTAGTTGCAGCAGTTTTTCTTAAAAGTTTATTTATTTATTGTAAATTGTATATGTGTCTCAGTACTTCCCTCAAGCAACACTTTCCCTCTGCCAAGGTACGGCTCCGGCGAGTTAGTAAAATTCTGACAAATCGCAAAAGTTTCTGTTCGCTTCGAGTATGGGATGATTGCAATGGGCGCAGCTGATCTTGTGACATATCTTCTTTTCCGTCATCTTTACTTTGAGATACTGAATAATGCCTTAACAACATCATTTTGATCTCAACAGGTGTTCGGAAAACTAGAAAACGCGTGGCAAGTATACCGAAAGCGCATTCAGACGTTTGGTGCGCTCGCGATAGTCTGTAATTAAAGACTTTGTTTTCATAATTTTCAGTAACACTTCGTTTAGGATAATTTTGCATCATATTCTCAGATAATGGAAACGCCTCATCTCCTACAAACACATAAGGTATTGGGTCCACAAGTGGAGGCAATACAGTAGGTGCTGGAAGATGTAAAGTATGCTTTAGTATTCTCTTTGCTAGAGCGCTTCTACTAAAAACGTTTCCATCACTAAATCTTTCTTGTGACCCTACATCAATAGTGACTAATTTATAATTTGAGTAGACGATAGCCAATAGCATAATTGAGAACGTATATTTATAGTTGAAATAAGATGATCCACTTTTTGCAGGCTTTTTAATCACTACATGTTTACCGTCAATGGTTCCAATGCAATACGGAAATTGCCATTTTCTTTTAAAACCAACTGTGACTGATTTTCATTTTTCTTCTGATGGTTCTGGCAAATATATCGGTTGCATCCGTTTCCAAATTGCTTGAGATACTTCTCACACAATGTTAGAGACTGTTCGATTACCCATTCTGTAGCTGTAGGCAATACTTCTGTAGCTGTTTCCTGAAGCCAAGTATCTGCAATAAAAAAAAAGGTTGAAGACGATTACGAATTGTTTGTGGAAAATGTTTTGTTTACAAAAAATTATTAAAAAAATAATTGTCTTTTGCAGGTTTTAAAAAGAATATAAAATAATTTTTTATGTATTGGTATTAATAGAATTTTTAAAGAGTTATATTGATAAGGCTCTGAAATTAAACCATTGTTGTAGGAACTGAAACAAATGCATTGTGGGAAAAACTAAGACATCCATTGGGGGATGCGCTTAGGAGGCAACAAAAATATTTCAAAAGTGGAGCACCCGCGGAAGCTATTAAAGAATGGACGTTTTTGAAACAGATGGGATTCCTGCAGTCCTATATCGCCAATAAATTGAGAGAAGGGAACTGTCGAGAAGACGATGGAAATAAAAACGTTACCCAAGTTTCTGATGAGTATGTAACATTTGCAGAGGTAAACGATGAAAATGTAGCAGAAGTGAATATACAGCAGCAAGACGAAAGCATTGAGGATGACGCCCAACTACAGAAATTTTCACAAACTTTGCCTCTGAGGGCAGCTAAAACCCCGACAACAAATGCAACCCCAAAATGAGCTAAAAAAATTAGAAAGATAATATCACTGCCCTGCTGAAACAAAGCATGAAAAATCGTAAAGAGAGAGCTAAAGCAAGAACGGAAAAAAGAAAATATTACAAAAATCAAAACCTACAAAAAATGATCCCCTATTTCCTTTCTTTATGTCAATGTACCAATCTAAAAAAATGCCACCCCCATTTCAGTACATGAATAAAAACCGTGTTTTTAAAGTGGTCTCAAACGTAGAAGGCAGGTTACTTGACGTTCCTGTCCAGCAATAGCCTTACCCTGCTCCTGCAACTATTCCACTCTATAGCAGCAGCAATTATTCAATTCCAGCCCATTCGTATTTGGACAATTCACTCTAAAGCCCCGCTGATACCCTTAAAGAACAAAAAAACTCTACAGCTACCAATTCAGATAATCTGATTATAATAATACTTTTACACACATACAATTTTGTTAATAAAGTTCACTAATGTAAATTAATAAAATACTTACCTTAGAAATACAGCTGGTTTCTCTTTAGTTCTAATTAGCCTTGTAGCATTGCAGACTTCTGCGTCAATGTCTTTCTTGACGATTTCATGCACTTCTTTAAATTGATAACGGTTTAGCCGAAAATAATTGGTAAACTTTTCATCAAGCTGACTTTTTATTAGCCATCTGGGAGATAAAGAATGTCATTTCGAACTCAAACTCGTCTTCTGATAAGAACTAAATAAAGAATTAATCTGTGCAGTTGCAGTTGTCATTTTTCAGTACTGTCCAAGCTTCACTAATGAAAGCTACAATCGTATTTTTTATACGGTCTCGCTGTGACTTAACGCTACACTCACCTTCTGCTGCGTTTTATTTTTCGCCGAGTCCGTGCTAGTAGTTTTCTCCCGCCATTAACTCGCCGTGACTCACGCTGCGTCACCTCGCTAAGCTGCGTCTCATTTTGCGTCAGGCTAGGCTAGTTATCGTTGTGTAATTTAATTAAAGAATCAAGATGTTGCTGTTGAGTCCTGAATATAGGTAACGTTTTAGTTCTGCTTGATATTTTTCTGTGCAGATTTAAGTGTGCTGTAATTATTGCTAGCTTAAAACAGTGAAAGGGTTTTGTCAATATAATCTATGCTATTATTGCTATTAATGAATTTAAGAAACATATTATTAATATTTTGAATGACGCAAGGACTCGAATGAAACTTAATGCATTCTTGGCTATCAACGTGTCAACACAAGTCAAAAATCAAACCCATAGAAAGTATTTATATTACTTTAGGTAAATAAATACATAATATATTCCTGTCTCAAATTTGATCAAAAACATCTAGTTTTCCAGTTCATCGCAGAAAAATGTAAATAATTTACAAAATTCCCAATGCTCATTATTCTTCTATCATCCAACCTCTTTTTAGTATTTAAGTACCCAAAAAACCTAATAATACCTTTTAAAAAAGAATTAATATTGTATGCTTGGCAGTCGTAAATAAGTCTTAGCTCAACTCAAGTTTAATACGTCATATTTCCAAGATTAACTTTAATAATATACAAGTGCTTGCGTCCTACTAATACCATCCTGTTCAAGGACGCCCTTGCTGCCCTAACGAGCGGCAGTCTCGCAGCTCGCAGAGGAAATTGCAAAATCCATAAAGAGAATACTTAATTTGGATTTAATTAAGGAGTGAAATCGGGTGAATGGATACACGAGAAACTCGGGTATTCGGTATTCGGAAGAAATGAGTATCTTCAAACTTTAGTTGCGGTAGTTCTTTGGTAAACACGGAGAAAAGGGACGATTTTTGTATTTGTTCCAGTTAAACATTAGAATAATTCGCAGCCGGATTCTGCAGTCAGAACTTTCCATAAGCGTCAAATCGTTAAAAGATCCACCGGAATGGGGAAAAGTAATAATGGGGGAGCGAATTGTAAACTTTTATACATCTTAAGAACTTCATTCGACAATGAATAGGTTCGGTATTTCTAACACGGTATGGTATTATACAATTTTGTTCCTTATTGTTTCAAAGTTTTGTGCATTTCCTACTATAGTAGAGTTCATTTCGATATAAAAAAATTTAAAAATTCATAGTTATTTTTGATTTTAAGATCGATAAAGCAAGTTTCTTTATGTCAAAAAAAAAAAATACGGGAGGTCAAATGGTACCCAACCTCCCAACTTTTTTTAAGAGGGTCGCTTTAACTTTTTTTTCTCCTTAGAATATTGGGCCTTCAAATCTACAGCACTGGTAAAAAATACAAAGACAAAATGGAAACAGCAAACTTTTTACAAAAAAAAACGTTTTTTTGAATTTTAGTTTAACGCCCTGTAACTTTGTTATAAGCCAGTTTTTGATATAGGTAAATATAGACAAATTCACTTATCTTTTGGTATTCTATCTGAGGAAGACTTTATGACTTACCTTTTTGAAACATCCTGTGTATACAGCTGTTAAATGCCCATAATTTTAACTTCATTAAACAAATTATCTGTGGGGTATCTAATCTTTTTATTATTTATTATTTTTAATATTCTTTTCTGTCCTATTAACTAAGGACTAATGTCATTTTCATTGCAATCGAAAACTTGATTAAGAAAATAAGTTAGGTGTACACTCCAAGCCAAGCATTGTTACGTAAAAAAATTCGAGTTGTTTAAATATATATAAATTTCAATTTGTTTCAAATTTATGTATACAATTAATAAAATTTCAAGATTTAAATTTAATGAATTTTAACGATAAAAAACTAAACATCTTGCACCACGTATACATTTATTTCAAAGTTAAATAAACAATAAAGAAATTCAATGACAACATATGATAAAAAAGAGAAAATTAAATATACCTACCTTAATGAAAATTAAATTTAAAATTATGTAGTGTTCTTAGCAACGCGACGCACGGGAGAAAGGAATCAAAGGGAAGAAGGTAGGATTAGTAATAGTCCAGTCATTTAAGCTTAAATTAGGTAAGAATCTCGGAATTCGAGATACCCAGCTGTAAGTCTGTAAATACTTGTATATAGACACCCTAAAAGTTGTCTCAAAACCTACATATGGTAGGGTATACGCAACTAATAAATTTCAAGGTCAAAGGTCACAAAAATCAGTTTTTTTTTGTGATTTTTTTGTAAATATCTCATTTCCTATGTGTTTTTGCTATTTGTATTTATTGTCAATATTGTAGAATACAAAATTCTCTACAAATTTTGTTTAAAAAAATTCAGACCACAGTAAGAACGTAAAAGCTATGGAGCAGCAGAGAAGAACTGCTGCACTTTCAAAAACGTATGAAGTCTGTTTTGATGAAACAATGGTTGTACCAGTTACTCAAGAAAAATTCTTATCAAATCGAAATAATAAAGATATGCTCAATAATATGTTAATTAAAAAATTACAAGCTGCAAATATTACTACTAAACAAGCCAGAGATGATGCGGATGTTCTTATTGTTAAAACTACAATTGAAGAATCAAAGTCTGAAAAAACTGCAGTTATAATAGGACAAGATATTGATTTACTTGTTATTTTAATTGGGCGTACACTGTCTTACCAACAAGAAATTTTCTTTAAAAAAGTTGGGAAAGGAAATGTAAAAACGGAGATATACTCGACTAAAAGTTTTGATAATTATCCTCATTCCAAAACACATATTTTATTTATTCACGCATTAAGTGGCTGTGACACAAGTTCTGCGCTTTTTAAAAAGGGAAAAAAATCATTTTTATAAGTTTTTGAGAAACTGACAAATTTGGATGAACTAGCTGCAGCATTTGAGGAAGAAAATTGTTCGGCCCAGAGATTATTAGAGAGTGGAACTCAAACCTTATTGGCAGTCTATAATGTTTCGAAATCTGTGAAAAGTCTCGATCATCTTCGTTATATGCATTACGTCAAGTCTACAAAACTTAATAAACCTGTGCAGCTTTCAAATATTCCACCAACAAGTGCAGCTGCTCATCAACATTTCAAACGTGTATATTATCAAGTTCAAACTTGGTTAGGGCATGATTTTGAACCCCAGGTATGGGGTTGGGCAATGCGAAACGATTTTCTGGAGCCTATCATGACAATTTTACCATCTGCTCCAGAAGATTTGCTAAATACAATTTTCTGCAACTGCAAGAGTGGTTGTGATTCACGATGCGGATGCAGGAAAGCGGGCTTGCAATGCTCTTCAGCTTGTGGCCAATCTAATGGGCAAGCTTGTCTCAATGCTCTACCATATCAGAGCGACATTAACAAAGATGGAACCTTTGACCCCTAAATCATGGAAGAACTTGAGACAAATGTCGTTGAAGACGGTAATAAAGACCAGTTTGAAATTTACCATCAGCCTGAAGACGACGGTGAAGAGGAAGAAGATGATTAAAATTTAAATTGTAGTTTTTGTACCCTTTATTCCATTTTTTTTTACTTTTAATAAAAAAAAATGTATTGAATGATATTTTTTAATAAAAAGATTAATTCATAATTTATTTGTTTTTTTGTTTCATCGTGTAAGAAGTTATATATATTAATTAGGTTAAAATTCAAATATAATTCCTATATTTTCATTAACAATTCTGCAATTACATGGGCAGGTAAGTGTTGTTAAATAAATTAATACTGAATAAAAAGTGGATAGGTTAGGAAAAAAATGATAAAATATAATATAATAGTTAATAAAAATTGACAAATATTTATAATCATTGATTTATCGATAGTTCATCAACTATATATGGCGCGTTTTCAACCGGAGGCACCGGGTGACCTGAAGTGATGCTGTGACCGCGCGCTCTCCGCCCTTTATCTCGAAAACGGTTCATCGTATAAAAAATTTTTTTAAACAAAATTTGTAGAGAATTTTATATTCTAAAATACAAGATAATAAATACAAATAGCAATAAACCCATAGGAAATGAGATATTTACAAAAAAGCGCAAAAAACCGATTTTTGTGACCTTTGACCTTGAAATTTAATAGTTGCGTACACCCTACCATATGTAGGTTTTGAGACAACTTTTAGGGTGTCAATATACAAGTAT